GCAGGAGCCAAAAGAACAGCTCCCCAGAGTGACAGAGGGGACATTTTGCCAGTGGCTTGGCAAAGTTCTTCAACAACAGTTAACGGCCTGCAAAGGTATCTTGCTGCACATTTGCACACCCGAAGGGACCTTCTGCAAGGAAGGGATGCGAGCTGTGCGTGGAGTGGCTGTCCCCCCACTGTGACCCTCTTCAGAGAAGCTGCCGCCACGATGACCAGAGGACGGAGAAAGTCTCGAGGGAGCTGTCTGAGGCTGGCGGGTCGGTGGCCTCCCTTCATTCTGCCGAGCGGCTCGCGTTTGCACTGACCTCATCAAATTCCATCTCCGTAGTCTGAGTCAAAGCCCCACCAGGCCAAGCCAGCGTCCAGCCTGGGGCAGGCGCAGGGAAGTGCAGCCAAGGGTTGGGACAGTAGCTTACGATATGAGGATCAATATCTGTTTTGCCACAAACTTCCAGGTGACTTTGGGCAAAACAAGTGAGGATGCAGCCCTCTTCTCAAGTACGCACCTCAAGCACGACCTCAGATGTCTTTTGAACACATCGGCTTGCTTGGCCTTGGCTGGCAGGGCCAAGAAGCAGTACGGATTTTTAGGACTGCTGCGACCATCTCCCCCGCGTCTGCTGGGCAGGAAAAACTCCTTCCACGAGGCCTCTGCCTTCTAACCTCACCCCACAGTAGCCTGAGGGCTGAAGCTTCTTCTCTCCAGGAGTTAACACTGTACCATAATGTTTCTGGCTAATCTGTAAGCCTGATGTTTTGCACAAGGTTTGTGAAAAGCCACGCAGGGCATTTAATGGGCAACGTCAAAGTGCATAACCCAATCCTTACCCAACCTTTCATGCTTTCCTTGGGAGTTTCAGAAACATTTTTTTTGCAAGACATACTTGGCCTCAGCTATGGGAAGAAAGAGAAGGAGGAGGTGGAGGTTGTGACCCTACGCATACCGTGTTTATGAAAACACTCCTCCACCAAAACTGCACTGGCGCTGCAATTTTGTCCTTGAGATGTTCAGTAAACGGCTTGCGTGCCGCGTCCCACTCCTCTCTCCCTCCCGCCCAGCAAAACCCGCTCTCAGAAGCCAGGATATCTAGTAGAGGCATCGCAGCAGAACAATTTGTTCCTCAAGCCCCGTCCCTAAGCAAAAACTTGGGAAGAATCAAGCTCCTGGTTGGAAATGCCGCAAATGCAATCTGCTGTGTGCAGCTCACAGGAAAGGCAGTGCTCGTTTGAATTTCTAACCAAAGCAAGCCAGTGAGCGTTGGCTCTGGATTTCTGTGGCTTTCACATCCATTTAATAGTTTCCTTTTCTCACTGTTTGCAATCTCCCTCTGCCCAACCCCCCCCCCCCCCCCCCGGATAGCTCAACCCTTTTGTCCCATGTCACAACATCCCAAACTGGAGGCTGCGGGCAAAGCACGGAGAGCAGAGCAGCGTCGTTCCAGCACAGCTGGAGAGTGGCGAAGCTTTTCTGCGTTTCTGGGGCTGGGCTGGAGCCTTACTCCAAGTTTAGGCAGCATCATCCGACTGGGTCTCCCAAGTCCATTTAAGGTGGTTTCGAAATCATCCCGACTTTACAGCCAAGCACGAGGGGCGCTTGGGACCCGCGTTTTCAGCGGGGAAGGCAGACAGCGCGGCGGGACACCCGCCCCCCCGCGACCGGCGCCGCCGGCTGCGCCCCCCCCCAAACCCCCCGCGCCCTCCCACGCCGCGGCCCCCGCGCCCCCCCACGCCGCGGCCCCCGCGCCCACCCACGCCGCGGCCCCGCACCTTGCTCGCAGGCTCCCTTGCTGCGCTGGCTGATGGCGGGCTCGCCGCGGCTCTGGGCGCGCAGGCTGGCGGCGCGGAGCTGGCAGCCGCTGCCGTAGGTGAGCCCGTCGCTGCCGCACACCGGGTAGCGGCTCTTGCAGAGGCACACGCCGGGCGGGCCGGCGGCGGCGGCGGCGGCGGCGGCGGGGGGGGACCCCGGGCCCGGGCCGCCCTTGGCCTTACGGCGCTGGCGGCTCTTCACGCACTCGAGGCCGGGGGCGCAGCGTCCCCCCGCCGCCGCCCCGCCGCAGCCCTCGCCCTCGCCGCGGCCGCACTGCCAGCAGCAGCCGCAGCCGTCCCGCACCCGGCCCAGCGGGCAGCCCCGCGGCGGCAGCGCCGGGCACCGCGCCGGCTCGCAGGGCCCGCAGCCGCCCGCCGCCGGGGCGGGCACCGCCAGCACCGCCAGCAGCACCGCCGGCAGCACCGGCAGCAGCAGCAGCGCGGAGGGCGGCATGGCGGCACGGCGCCGCCCGCCCCCGCCAGGCACTTAAACCGCTGGGGCGGGGGGGGGGGGGAAACCCCTCCCCGGCCGCGCCGGCCCGGCCCCGCGGTGCCCCCGCCCCGGCCCCGCTGCCCCGGCCGCCCCGCGGCTCTGCTCCGGCACCCGGTTTTACTCGCCGCCCGCCCCCGCGGAGCGGCTCGCTGCCGCCCGAGGGACGGGGTCGGTTTCCTGCCGGAGCGGCGGCGAGAGAGGAAAGGAGAGCCGGCCGGGATGCTCCCGCACGTACTGGGGGCAAAGCCGTGGCCCGCTGCCGCCTTTCACCTCGGCTTGTGGCAGCCGCCCCGGGGCGGCTCCTGAGGGGTCCCCGAGGGGCTGAGGGCGGGGGGGCTGTTGCCACCAGCAGAAACTGGGGATAATCCCCAGGCAGCGCTGGGCGGTGCTGCTTGAGCCTGTCGGCGGCGCCCCAAATCGCCGCGGTGGTGCTGTGAACCCCCCCGGGGCGGCAAGGGGTGCCCTGCTCCTTCCCCCCCCCCCATCGGGCCTGGCTTCGGCTCACGCGACGTGGTCCAGGCCGAGGCGATGCTCAGCCCCGCACCGCGAACCCCGCTTTGGCGCTCCGGGGTGCAGAAGGGCAGAGGTAGTCGGTGTCCCTCGCTGTGAATCTGGGGGATTCGGCACTGCCCGGTACGGGTTGCCAGTGGCTGAGCCCTCCTGGGTGGCCCCTGGGTCACCCTGTCCCTTCCCGCAGAGGGCAGCTGGGGCTGAAAGTTCCCCACGTTCCCAAATCTGCTCTGGAGGGATTGATGCACTCACGCCCAGCACTGTGGGAATGAGCTTCTGCCACACGCTTCCTCGGCTCCCCGGAGCCCACCATGGGACACTCCTCGTGGGACATCATGGCACCTGCACACATTTCCTTGGATTTCTTTGTTCCCCTTGCCCTGGAAGTGCTCCCTGCTCTTCTCCCCAGAGAAGGGCTGTCCTCATAAGCAAACACTATGCCAAACTCAAGGGTTTTGACACATGGGGGCTTTGGGGTTTGTGTTTTCTGTTTTTTGTTTGTTTGTTTGTTTTGTTTTGTTTTGTTTTAGTTGTTGTTGGTTTTTTTTTTTTTTTTTTTTTTTTGTATGGGTAAGTCACTATAGAAGTGATGAAAAAGGGTGAAATGGCCAAAATATGGACAGACACATATGTCAAACCAAGTTCTAGCTATAAAAACCATTTTGCACAGTTCACCTCTTCCCTCTGTCTCCTGCCCGTTGCCAGGCACCTCCCTCATGGGCCCCCCGATTCCCCTCAGTCAGGCTATCACAAGCCCTGATACGTCTTGCGCAGAGTGTTTAAGGAACCTGCCGTAGCTTACCAGAGCAAGCCGTTCTGACTTGAAGTCACTGTCAGCAGTCTGCTTGGCAGGAGGAAAAACGTAGCTCCGAAAGGAAGAACATCAACACATTTCCTTCCCTTCCCTGCAAATCTTTCCATTTCTGTGCCAGACTGGAGGCGAGTGCCCTTGCCTCTGCTGGGAGCACAGTTTTTCCTCCCAAGGAGGAGACGGTAGTTGATACTTTGGTGCAGAAGGACCTCTAGTGTCCCTTTGTAGCTCATACATTGGCCTCAGCTCTTAACTCGGTATTTCTTGGTCTGGAGACCTTCCTATGTGCTGTGGAAGGAGATAAGGTCCCCATAGTGCATGGAGGGAAGTGGCTGGGAGACGGGCTGGGTTGCTCCTCCCCGGGGAGAAGCCTGTATGGCCCGGGTTCACCTTGCTTTGCATCCACGGCTCCTCCACATCCTTTTTTCTTCACCCCAGGGGCCTATGTGCGCCTCTTTGTGCGCCACAGGCTGCTTCACTGAAATATATTACATGGGATGCTTCTGGGGTCTCAGTAATGAATTTCCCGCTGTTTCATTGAATGCCGGTAGAAATCTGTGGGTTCATGATGTGCTTCTTGGGACTCTCGTAGAGTGCCCCACCAAAAGCGGTGCTTAGCATTCAGCAGCATGAAACTTTCTTGAGCAGGTTGAATTTAATTCATCAGTGGATGCTATTAGGAAGACAACGAAAATGCTCTTACACGTTTTGATCCATTTGATCATTCACGTGGGCACTTCATCATCAAGGTGGTCCTGCATGCATCTCCCTGTGAGAAAACGTGGGAGGTGGGGCAGGCTGGGTGGCCTTGCCTGGGGGGGGGGGGGGGGGGGGGGGGGAAGCTTCCAGGGCTCTTGAAGGCAGGGGTAGATTTAGCAGATGACAGGAGAGGCCATGTGAGAATGGCAGCAGACAGCTTGGAGATGTTGATGTATTTCTCAGCCGGGGGCCTCCGCTTGCTGATTTTCTTCACCCAGCCGAGCGGCCCCTCTGAATTTGCGCCCGGGGGGGGTACAGGGAGCGGCGGGGTAGGTCCCTGAGCTTACGGAAAGCTAGAAAGGATGGGCACGGGCGGGTCAGCCACCCTCCGAGGTGACTAACGAAGCCCAACGGGCGCCTTTTGCACATGGCGATGCCCGGCACCCCTCCACCCCTCTCCTCCCGCCCGGAGCAGCAGCCGCTCCCGCCGGCCGGTCACCGGAGCCGGGCACCCCCCCGGCCCTCCCAGCGCAGGGGACGGGCTCCGCCAGCTCCGGGCTCGCCGCCAGCGGGGAGCCCGCCCGCTCCTCCCCGCTCCCGGGGCCCACTTTCGGTTCCCGTTTCCCCGCCGGGGCGGGGCCTTCCCGGCGCGGGGTTGGGGCGGGGCGGCGGCCGGGGGATGGCGGCGGGACGGCGGCGGCGGCGGCGGCGGCGGCGGGGGAGCGGCACCTCGGGGCGGCCGCGGGGCCCGGGAGGTACCGACCGGCGGGAGCGGGGGGGCTCCCCGGGCCGGGGGGGGGGTGTGAGGTGGGAGGGGGGTGAGCCCCTGCATGAGCCCCTGCATGAGCCCCTGCATGAGCAGCCTAAACGCGTCCCGGTGCGCGGCCGTCGGGGGGGGGGGGGGAGGCTGGGGCACGGACGTGAATTTTCCTCTCGGGTTACTCGCTGTGGTTACGCCGGGGCGGTGTGGGAAGGGCGGGCAGTGGGTGTCCGGAGGTGTGAGGGGGAGGCTTTGCCTTTCACGCCTCGGCGCCGCGGATCTCCGGCGCTTGTGCCGCGGTGGGGCCACACGCAGGGAACTGGGGAGATCTGGTGCCTCGGGGTCAGGCAAGCGCCTGCGGCCCCTCAGCTGCAGGCAGGACGGCACTTCCTTCTGCTGTGAAGAGGCAGTGCGTGATTTTCCCGGCATTGCTTCCCCGGTGTTTTGTAAAACATCTTGACTTCAAGGCATCCCATCCCCAAGGCTGTGACTGATCTGGGGCAGTGAGATACCTCAGGAGGTGCCTTATCTCCCCGGGACACCTCTCCCCAGCTGTGCAAAAGTGGCAGAGTGTGCTGTTGCTGACGTTTGGCTGATCGTCTTGGGAGCTGGTGGCACAGCAGCCTAAGAGATGGAGAACTGTGCTTCAGTGATAGCCAGGAGAGTTGTCTGGCGTGAAACCAAGCAGTGGGTGGGACATGGAAACCCCAAGGGGCCTGAGAAAATAAGTCATACACACTTGTCTCGCTTTTCCCTGAGGGGCAGAAGCCCGTGGTGAAAGCAGTAGCACAGGGACATCTTGGGGAGGGGGCCGGGGTGGGTAAGATGCCCCACTGCCTTAGCGTCGCCGCCGTGCCCATCTGTGTTTGCTCTGCAGAGGACACGCAGTCGCAGAGGAATGAGAAGATGGAGTGCTCAAACCACGATGCAGCACATGCGCTCGTTCTCTCCCCTGATGGGAAACTTTATGAACACGGGGCAACAGCTTCAGCTGACTGCTCTCAGACGAGGTAAGAAGCTTGCATGGAGTGGAGATATGGATGGTAACGGTCAGAAAATGTGTCCCACTTTTCCTAACAGTAACATCCAAGGGACTGAGGCGTGTTCCTGTTGTAGAGAGGGAGCTGGAATACATACATTCCCAGTACCCAAAACTTTATCTTCTTTTTAAAACCAGCAAGAAGCGCACTGACTTTGAGAATAATACCAAGATTTGACCTGCTTGGGATGCACATGAGACAGGCTTCTCTCAGATTTAGTAAGGATCAGTAGCACATACCACAGTACTGTGGATGACTTGCAAACCACACGTGGCTTGGGAAAACTGCGGGTGAAAGACCTAGGCACACCTGAACCTTGCCACCTTCTGATTAAGGTGTGAGGGTGTCGGGGTTTAACCCCAGCCAGCAACTAAGCACCACGCAGTGGCTCGCTCACTCCTCCCCGCTCCCAATGCAATGGGGAGGAGAATTGGTAAAAAAGTCACACTTGTGGGTTGAGATAAGAACAGTTTAATATATATTAAAAAATTTTAATATAAGTTTAATATAAAAATATAACAATAATGATGATGATGATGATAGTAATGAAAAGGAATATAATAAAAAGAGAGAATTAAAACCCAAAGAAAGGCAAGTGATGCACAATGCAGTTTCTCACCCCCCGCTGACCGATGCCCGAGCAGCGATCTGCCCCCCAGCTGACTCCCCCCCCCCAGTGTATGTACTGGGCAGGACTATGTTCTATGGTACGGATCATCCCCTTGGCCAGTTCGGGCCAGCTGTCCCGGCCGTGCTCCCTCCCAGCTCCTTGTGCACCGGCTCGCTGGCACAGCACGGGGAAACTGAAAAATCCTTAACTTAGGGTAAGTTGCGCTACTTAGCAACAACTGAAACATCAGCGTGTTATCAACATTATTCTCACACTGAATCCAAAACACAGCACTGTACCAGCTACTAGGAAGAAAATTAACTGTATCCCAGCTGAAAGCAGGAGAGAGGGTAGCCATCATCTACAAATGGCACAGCAACTTGCTGTGGGATTTTCTGTGAGCTTGCCTAGGGCTGAGCCTGGTTCTCTTCCAGCTTCCCATGGTGCAAACCACGGTCAAATCAGGTAGCCCAGCTGCAGTAGGCTAGCATAAGAGCAGGGTGAATCAAATTATCAGGTGACGTATGTTTTTCCACATAATTCCAGCTAAACATGCTAGGACTTGTTGAGCAGGGGATCTTCTTCCTTTACTTTGTCTCATGGCAAAGCATCTATCTATTCTGATTTTATTTTATTTTATTTTTTTTGTAGGCTGGTGAAAGAACTAGAAAACCAAAATATTGTTCAAATAGCATGTGGGGACCAGCATGCCATGGCACTGTCCAGAGGTAGCCTCTTTCAAGCACACTTCTCATCCAAATGGGAGTCACATTATGGCAGGCTCGCTCTCGGAAGGGAGTGTTTGAGCTACGCCCGGTGGTTGGTGACATCTCACTGGCGATGGGTGGAGGGGACAAAGTACGCTGGCTGCCAGCACTGCCCTTCCCTCCCAGCACCCAGGGACCTGCTGCTCTGTCTCTCTCTGCTTACTGAGCACTACCCCTCTGCAGAGGTGTGCTGCGGAGAGCAGACGTGGCCGCCCTGCTCCGCGCTCACCAGACCTGCTCATTCTTAAGTCGGAGCGCCTCTCTGGTTGGGAGATTCTTGCAAGTATGGGTTTAGAGGTGGAAAGAAACACCCTGCCTTTATTCTTGCTGTGCGGAGTCACGTGGGCAGAGTGGCACTGCCCCAAAGGGGTCAGAAGCAAACGGAGATTTGGCCGCAGATGGTGGTCTCTCACCTTGCAGCTAGGTCCCTGAAAGCAGCACTGATTTTTGCTCCCCCTCCCAAAGTGCAAAGACGCCAGGGAAGCAGAGAGGCTGAGCTGTTTCCTTTTGTTCTGTGCGTGAAGGAGGGAAGCTCTTCACCTGGGGCCAGAACGGCCACGGGCAGCTTGGAGTGGGGAGCCAAACCACGCTCATCCCCCAGCCACAGCTGGTGGAAAGACTGAAGGGCATCTCACTCGCTCACATTGCTGCTGGAGGAGCTCACAGCGTCGCCGTGTCACTCTCTGGAGCTGTGTACTCCTGGGGGAAGAATGATTTTGGACAGCTGGGACTCGGAGACACAGAAGGTAAGGAAAGAAGGACAGCAGTCTGAGAGTAAAGCAGTAGGAAGGTGTTTTCCTGGTCAGTGCAGACACAGGAGTGACTCTGGACTGTCCAGCCCCTTTGGAGCAGCGGTGGACAGCAAGGTCTTTTGAAGAAAGCATACCTGGATAAGTTATTTGTGTCTGAGCTATTATATCCTGACCAGGAACAGCATGCAGGGACAAGGGACTTACGGGTTGTGTTTCTACAAAGAACTTCCAATCGTTTTATGTGGCCAGCTGGATAGTGTGGGCTCTTAAAACCATATGTCTCGGATGTCTCTCTTCACTCCCATTCTTTCTCCAGGCAGTCTTGCATGAAATAAATTAATTTTATACCTCTTTGTCTTCTTTAATTATCTGTAAACACAAGGCGAGAGAAGAATAAAAATCACCCACTGTCGTCAAACCTAGAAGGCTAGAGCAGAGTTGCCCTAGCCAGGCAGAGCCTGAAGTCAGCAGGATCTGAATGAGTCCACACCCTTGAGAGTCAGAGATTTTGAAACCAAGTATGTTTTGGCAAGCAAAATGTGAAAGCTCCGTGTTTTGTTTCAGATCAAATGTAGATGAAAAGAAAATACCATGGAAAAACCAGAACATTATGAGAAAGAGTATGTTATAGTGGAGGGTAGGAAACAACCCAAAACCAAGTTGTAAATACATGAATTGCCGTAAGAGAGGACTGAAAAGTGCTAAACCCCCTTATTTTATAAATCCTTCTTTGTGAGACCCCCAGCACTCTTTCACTTTAGCAGTGCCATCTTCTTTCCAGACAGGAACTGTCCATCGTACGTTGGAGCGTTGGAGCACTGGAAGACTGTGTTTATCTCATGTGGGGCAGATCACACTGCAGCTCTCTCCAAGGTGAGTCTGAATTGGAAAATCAGCATCTGAGACCTCACCGTGCGAGGGAAGACACACTGCTAAAAGTCAGCACGGAGGAACTGGGCTGGCAATGCCTGCTTCCGTCTGAGTCTAAAGATGATCCCCAAGGGATGCTAAGTAAGCTACTGGGGAAACCAGCCTCTTCGCAGATTCCCATCACCTGCGTGCAAACATTTGCAGGGAGATGGTGAATGGGAATCCTGGGGCAAAGAGGTGCAGTTCAACTCTCATTTCTGAAAATAATATACTTTTTTTGTAGTATATTGGGGACTTCAGAAAATGTGGACAATGGCTAATTCAGTAGGGTTTATTCATACAAGTAAAATTCTTAAGCAGCAGGGAGTCATTCACAGGAGTTAAATTGCGTTTCTCAGCAGTTAAGTGGCTTGGACATTACAGTGTATGATTAGGCATTTGAATTACATTAATAATGCAGTGATCCTGGTGTCTGCTTCTTCATCTTCAAGGAGGGGTTGGTGTGCACCTTTGGAGCAGGAGGGGCTGGCCAGCTCGGTCACAACTCCACCCGAAATGAACTCACGCCTCGTGTGGTGGCCGAGCTCTGGGGAGCAAGAGTTTCGCAGGTGGCCTGTGGCAGGTGGGAAAGTACAAATAAAATGCCTTTGAAGGTCACGGTTTTAGGGGAATCACTGAAGGACAGAAGGGAGGGGACCCACCACGATGTTCAGATCCCTGTATCCTGGTAGGTCAGCACTGTCGGAATATTGTCCATTTCTCATGTGTAAGAAGGGTGCTTCTGCCACAGCCCCTGTGAAAGCAGAACCCTCAGCCCGTGCTGAGCAGAGGGAGAGGGCTGCAAAAAATACCAGAAGCCCTTAGTTTTTCCTCTTTTAAGAAACGGTGGGCTCCAGAGGGCAAAAGACTGTCAAAACCCTGGGTCAGGAGCGTCACAGGGTTCCCGTCCACTTTGACAAATTGGTGGGTCCTTAGAAAGATCCAAAGAGCTGTGATAATTACCCAGTTTCTGGAACTGGGCCAGAAAAGTCTCCTGTCGACTTTCCTGGGCTTTGTATCAGGCTCAGCAGCATAGAAGTTGCACTTGAAAAAGTGGAAGGGCGTGAAGCTAGTAAGGTATAACACTTTATTTTTGTATGTGGAACCAGGATAAATCACAAATGTTAGAGGAAATTTGAGTCCATATGTTTCTTAATTGCTGAATATTTATGTGAGTCCTAAGACTTTGGTTAAAGGGATTCTATAGCTGAACTGTCAGGACCTTTAAAGACAAGCCTCACCTATCCACTCTGAGAACGTATCTGTAAATTTTATTCTGACTAGCTCAGTGGTATTAGCTCATTATGACCATTTTTCTTTTTCTGAACAGTCAGCACACCCTGGTCTATGTCCCCTCCTTGGACAAAGTCTATTCGTTTGGTTCTTATGAAGAAGGACATCTGAGAGATGAGAGAAAGCCTAATCAGTTGATACCACTTCCCATCAATTCACCAGTGAATACTGGAAAATCCTGTCAGGGTAATGACTATTTCAGATGTGCACAATCTGTATTAATTTCTTCTAGGGAGATGCTTGCTGTCTTGATTTCATGTTTACACTGAGAGGCTAACATTATGCCTCATGCTTGCTTTGTCATCCCAGCTGATTCTAGCAATGGCTAATTCCATTTGCTGCTTGATTTATCATCATGGGTAATGGCAACATAGAATCAACTTTTAGGCAGACAGCTACTATCTGAGGGATTTTTTTACTGTCCCAAATCTGTGCACTGAACTCTCTGAAGATAATGACTGTCTCTTCAAATGTTCCTTTGAAAATATTTTTATTCTTTCACAGAAAACAACACGTCACAAGAGGTGATTGAAATTATTGCAGGAGGAAACCAAAGAATTGTCCTTTGCAGGAGCAACAAGGTATGTGCATATTTGATCATGGCTTCTAATTTTACCATTGTTCACGTTACTACTGGAAACATTTGGATTTTCCATCCTGCTCTTAGTGCACCAAGTTCATGTATGTCTCTTGCAGTTCTTTCCATGCTTACGCAGAAACTAACTTGTAGTGCAATTATATATCTGTTCCATGGTTAATGTATCTGGATCATGCTGGACGACCATTAATTTGTTCATACTTAGGCTCAAATCTTCTTGTAATCATTGGCTTGAAAAAAAGAATCCCATCTGCTAGACCTGTAATCTCATCAATATTTTCATGATTTCACACAGAATTCCTGTTTGAATGGAATTGCCACTCTGAAGGATAAAGATGTGGATACATGGATTTCTAATTCCAGTTCGCAACACTGGATTAGTATAAAAAAGTAAGTCAGAAACCTGCTGGTTTGTTGTGTTTTTTTGATTGTTTGTTTTTGTTTGTTTGTTTGTTTTTTTCCCCTGATAAATGTTTTTCTCTAAAAATTATTATTCTTTGGGGGCTATTGTAGAAACTGATGTTCAAGAACTTAGCCAAGACAGAATCTCATATGAGCACTTCTTACTTAGGTTTTGCACAGGAAAAGAGATGTTGATAAGCAACATCCCTTTGGTAATCCTTTTGCAGGAACAGAGCAGATGTACTGCCTGGCTTCAGAGGCCTGTCTTCCTCTTCTCTTCCACAGAACGGTTGTTAAGTTGATGAGGGGCCAACAAGTTAAATCAGTGAAAGATTCGGTCAGCAGGCTGAGGCCTTGTGCAGAAATCGTAATCCAGAATACCTAAACTGGAATGTTTTGTGTGTGTCAGTATTTAAAAATTAGTGATCCCTTATTTAGTTACCCATTTGCAAAAGCAGTAAGTGTATACTACTGTGGGAAGCCTTACATTTATGGCTGAGAATTATGAATACGTAGTCTTTTTTCAGATCTTACGTGGGAGGTTATTTTCTTTGGACAAGTCTGACTCCAGCTGCTGATTTTGAGCATTTAAAAATCTTGGCTAATTTGGATCTAAATGTATCCCTGACCATTTTTAGTATGGTTTGGATCATATGTAAAGTGGTTGTTGAGAGAGAGGGTGTGAGAGAGAGGGTTCTTTCCAGATCTCAATAGGAAGGGCCTGGCAGCAAATAGCTTGATAAAATAGCTGCTTTAATAAGAATAGAACCAGAAAAACAGGTAGCAAGTAAGACTGATGTCCCTTCAGATGCTGGGGACCTAGCTTTTGTGCAGCAGCAAATGGATACCCCGATGGATTTTCCCTCAGCGTGCTACCAAGATCCCTGGAGGGGCTCCTTGTCCCTCCCATGCCGCAGTGCCTTTTATTTTGCATAACAAACAAAACCAGATAACATCCCAACCTGTCCTGAAAAGTTATCTCCATCATCACACCCACCAGCACGCAGCACAGGCTGGCACGGGGCGCAGCACAGGCTGGCACGGGGCGCCAGAGCAGATTCCCTCACACGAGCAGAGGTGGCTTGCCAAAGATCGCTAACTCCTCGAATGCAACGTCCTCTGCAACACTTGCAACAAAGCAGCGCTAAGAAAAGTTTTATGTGGTCAGGTGCAGATACGCTTGTACACATGGTTTTTGCTCTTTCAGAGTTAAAAAGCTGAAGTTGCTACTCAAGTTGAAAGGATTGACTCTGGTTTGTTTTTTTACTATCAGGAATATCGGACTGATCTTTTCATCTGAGGCTTGCATCAATGGAAGCTTCCTGGAGAAAAGGTAGTGTGCACAGACTTAGACATCACAGAATATATTGGCTGCATGTAAACTGATCAGAAAGTGTTATTTTAGGCCACATATATAGAGATTAGTCGTATCTCAATTTGCAAGAAGCAAATCTGTATTTTTCAAAGCCCAAGCTAAAATTAAGTTTTTTATCCCCGCAGTCCTATTGAAATTTGCTAGAGAAGCTCACATTCTAGCAGATTATCCTATAGTGACATTTGACAGATGATGACAATTCCTTTATTCACTATCACAGCTCCCAAAGGATCCATAATTGTTCCTCCCAGCACTGAAGTGCAAGTCGGTCTAGGGTGAAATGCAGGAAGCCTGCCATTAACAGAGCACAGCCACACAAGACAGGAGGGACAGAATACTCATCAGGTCACACCACAGTGAGAATATCTTCTTAGAGCAGACAAAATTATAACCGCTGGAGCTGGGGCTGAACTTTCCAAGTATTTTCTGATGTTAGGATACTTCACTATTCAGTTGGGAACAAAAACCAGCTTCTCACATCATTTGGTCTTTTTTTTTTTTTTTTTTTTTCCTTTGTGATAGAGACAAACATTTCAAAACTTCCAAAGAATTCTCGGGTGTAGACATATCAGAAGTGCAATGTTTTTATGAGAAGATCATCAAGAAGCCAGAACTCTTCCAGGAGGTAAGGATTCAATATAAGGATTCTCTACAGAGATACTGAGAAGCTCTGGATTTATTCATGAAACTTGGGAATTTTGTGCCAACCTAATTCATAAATGATTTTGGCAGAACATAATTGCATTTTTTTACCCTTGATTCTTTTTTTTTTCCTTTGAAGGTACAAAAGGAGATTGAGAAGCTAGTGCCATCATTGTCTTCCTCTCCCATCTCACCTGAAAATTTCAGAGTCTACTTGATCTTGCCTTTCCTTCTACAGGGCAATGATGAGAGCTCTTACCGTTCTCTTAGGCTTCTAGCACAAGCCATCATGAAGCTCCAGCCAAAGGACTTGCAAACTCTTGGTAGGGTTGCATGAGGATAGAACGGAATGATTTAAATGCTTGGTCATTTTTAGCTGTGGAGCAACAGTTAGTATTGCTGCAGTAATTTGTTCTAGATTTCAGCCTGAAAGAAATGCTTTCAGTAGAAGTAGAAACATGGGACTATGCAGCAAACACAAGAAAACCAAAATTCTTAGTCTGAGGTTTACTAATTTTTGTAGTGCAAAATTAAGCATTTTTGCGGTTTAGTTCATTTGATGTCAAGAGAAAATGCAGCTTCATCCAGAAGTTGCGGTTATTTGCATGTTACCTGTGACAGATACTTCACTAGATGTTTTCTTTACAGAGTGCCTGTGGTCAAATCTAGAAACATCCTTTTTCAATAAGCTGGTCGTTCTGTATCAGAGCGTTTCCCAGAAAAGCTTGCTTCAGTTTGCTGAGGAAGTCAGAGGCTTCCAAAGAAACCTCTTTGAACTGCACCCACATGAAACAGTGACTCTGCAAATACTGCAGATTCTTTACCAGGTGAGAAAGTCTTTGGATCCTGATTAGGTAGGACGTATCAGTACAAGTTAGAGTATTTTAATCCTTTTACTCGTTGAATTCTCTCTCTGGGTTTCCTTCTTACGAGGGAACACGGGGCCTTGTTGTTTGGCACTGCTTCGAGAATCTCTTTGGCTCTACGCCAGCATCGCTTTGAAGGACTCCTGTTCTTGAGTCGTGCCTGGCTGACCCTCTAGGAATGCGGAGCTGAAGCCTGTTACAGCCCCTGGCAGGGGGAGGGATGCTTTCAGGGGCGTGAGGAGTGCCGGCACTGACGGAGAGCTGCGGCGGTGTCCGTGAGGCAGCCTGCCCACTCCCCTTCCTGCCGCTGAGATCCCTCACCCCAGCAGCAGCTGCTCGCTGCTTCTCAAAGACAGCTCGCCTGCTTGGCACGTCGTCGTGGCGCTTGGCACAGTCACGCCGGCGCGATGCTTTAAGAGCCTGTCACCTGAGACGTTTTCTGGGCTAACAGAGAATTAGAGCACCTTCAGCTGCGTACGAACAAGGGCGAGAAAGGGGGCAGCAACTGCATTCTTCTTGACAACCACCCTTTCTCCTGCTGAGACGTTCAAAGTTGAGGAGAGTCAAGAGCTCAAGCGTGCATTTAGTATGAATCAGAAAGAGTCATTAAATTTTGGTCAGAATTGAATATCCTTTTGGCTGAGAATGCAGATTTGGGCCTCAAAGTTTAGACTCTTGAATCTGTATTTATCCAGGTAAATAAACTCAAAAGTGCAGCAGGTCTACTCCTCTGCAAGTGGTTACACCATTTGGAGCTTTACACGTTCACTGTCCCCCCCCCCCAAACTGTATCTTTGCCAGGCAGCAAGTGTGAACGTGAATAGGGAACTTCAGATTGTCCTGCAACATGAAAGACACTCGCAGTGAAACGCAGCTTTCCTGATCGAGTCCTGTTGAGGGGTCTTCATTGTAAAGGAAAATTGCTTTCCTGCTACTTTGTATGTGGCTTTCTGAGACTTCTCCCTGTTGAGTGCTGTGCCACTGGTAGCACTTCCACCTGTCCGCTTCTGTGCAGGGCCTCGGAGCACGTCCTGCAGAGTTTCTGCCCTGTTACTCTTTAGTCCTGTCCTGCCAGAGGCACAGCTCACTACATCTGCTGACACCCCTTTTCATATTGCGTGTATCAATGCAGGTGAACTCCAGAACTGGTTTCAGAGTACAAGAAAACAACTTCTACGTGCCTGAAGTGAAAGTGATTATCGGATTGTGTTGGGCCTTTAATGTAAAAGAAGTAAGTATAAAATCTTACCAGCAGTGCAAAACAAGGGTTTTTTCTGTTTTATTTAAATGAGTTGATATATATGAAAGTCAGCTCTAGACTCTAGCCCAGTACATCCCAAAGATAATGCATCTTCCCTAGTCCTCCAGCTGTTCTAAATTATGCAAGCCATTTACCATCCTAGTATTTTAGCAGCTACAATAATGCTTTTCCTGAGATGACCCCTGGTTCTGAAAGTCGGAGCTGTCCTCCAGCATCTTAAGCAACTCTGTTTGCTTTGAACTGGTGATCAGTGTGAAATAGCACCATGAGAGGTAGTTGCTATACTTCTTGTCACTCTGGATTTTATTATGTTTAATTAACAGAAATGTTGTGAGGTCTCTTTAAACTTTTATGTAGAAAGCCTCTTGAGTGTTTCAATTTACTTACATCTAAAAACAAAGCCGTGGTAATAAAAAATATTCTGTGAAATGACTCGTTTCTTGAGGACATGAAGGAGTTAAAATTAGCTACTAAATGCAATCAGTGTCACAGGAAGCATCATGTAATGGAAATGTGGATAGTAGGGGCTTCCTCGGGCAAAAATTGCAATTTTCTGGCAACTTGTCTGGAATTCACAGGGCAGCTGCCTGTTTCACAAGCTTTTGTTCGCTGATGTATCAACTTTGTACTAATTAACCTGAGCAGAGGAGGAGGTTTGAGAAACAGTATAGCATCAAAAGCCAAGTAGGACATTACCTAAAGTTGCTGCCTTATCACACTGGAGGTGTAACACTTCAAATGAGATTATTTTATATACAAATATCTGCTTTTGGTATTGCAGATAATAAACCCAAGAGTTTTTAACAACAATGTACCACAACCCGGGTAGCCAGCACGTTTTTACTATGTGTTTTGGTTTAGCTGAATTATGGAAGATACCATTAAAATCACTACCTCTGTTTTATTCTCGGGGCACCGTAACACAAGTGTCTGCCTGCACAGACAGCTCTGATGCCTGTCAGGATCTCTCACTCACAGAAGTGTTTAGAAGCGGCTTTTAGAAGGTGTGCCTCTGTGGTGTAGTGTTCATGTACACAAGAAGGGCATGTTTCAGAGATACAGGACTTTGCCAGGGTACAGACCGGCACCTCAGTCTGCACACATACCCCGAACTCTGTTTTTGCAAGAGAAAATCAGCACATCTTTTTCCTTCTTCCTTGTCATTTCAGATGCCCCTATGGAAGCTGACCAAATACCCATGCATCTTTGACATTCAAGACAAGATTGCCATTCATAATACAGAACGCAATACTCTGTCCAGCCCCTGTAGTGATGTAAGTGTAGCCAATTTTTTTACAATTTAGAAGAGCTCAACGCACTGCTAACAGACTGTTACTTCAATCCTCAGATATATTTAATAGTGATGGGCCAGGAACACTGGGTTTTTCCAGTCAGAAGACAGTACCTTCTGCAAGATATATGGACCCATTTAAATGACGCACCAACTGAGCAATTCAAGAAGATCTTAAAGGTAAGATACCAAATTGTATTATTTGTTAGCTCTGAATATATCGCTGCAGTGCTCTTTGGTTTGTGGTGTTAATGAAGTGTTGGTAGAAGGGTTTCAGTATTCGCTGAGCATACAACAAACCAGCTACTCATCAAATTATTATAAAACATGTTCCACAGGGGCTGTGGAGTAAATCTGGAGGGCAGTATCTTACGTTTTTATTCCAGGTAGCCACCAAGCTTTCTTGGCATAAGTTAAATGCAAGTGGCAGTGCTAGCTACTGTGAGGTTGCTTTAGGGTAATGTAGTAGGATCGCTCAGGGAACTGGTAATTGGCAAAGTCCATTACTATTACTGCTAGATTGACTTTAAAGACTATGCTAGCTTGCTGTACATGGATAAACGTGGTGGTTGGGCGGCCAGCCTCAGAGGCCAGCAAGCGACAGCCACAAAAGCCCTTTCTCTCAGGGAGGTGCTGCCTGAAGGGAAAGGAAGGACAGTGCCAGCAAGAGATGAAAAGCTGATTATAATGTTGCTGTTTCTGTGTGGCTTTAGCCTGCAGTTTCCACACAAACCCAAAGGTTCTGGCAGCTGTATTTTCTCCGGGTACCGCAATGCTGGCGCTGCCCTGCAGAAGCGCTCAGCTGGCTGATGTGGGAAGGGGGCACCTGGCCCGAGCGGAGAGCGGCTCGGGGGCCACGTGCCGTATCACTCACCAACACGAGGGCCCTCAGTCTGGCACCGCGCCAGCGCAGGGGGAACCGCCAGCCCCAGCGCCCTGCTACCCAGTTCTGGTTCTTCCCAAGTGAAGAACCAGAACTTGCCAGCCAGAGCTGTCAAAGCTTTTCCTTCCCGTACACTCAGGAGAAGATTCACAGCGGCTCCCAGAGCTGCCTTTCCTTCCCCCTTCCTCACTGCATCAGCTGAAAGAGCCATTTATTTACGCCCTGTGCTCTGTACTGTCCTCTAGATCTGGAGTCTCTCTCCACCGATTATACAAGGAGCCCCAACAGACAGCTGCACATAGGTAGGGTCAGCCTTTGACAACACATCTTGCAGGTACTGCCTCTCATTCTGTGCATCACAGCATTATCTGCCCAGCAGCAGCCCCATCAACCTGACTGCATTATTAGTATCCCACCAAGAGACACTGAGGTCTGCAGTATGTACAACTTGGTGCTGCATTCCTGAATTTTTCAGCAGGGTAAAGGACATTCACGTGTGTGTGTGTCGCAGATACAAACCACCCAGTAGCAAAACATAAAAAAGAAACTCTTGTAATTGGTTATCATAGCATTAACCTGCCCCCTTCATAGCCGCGGCCTGTGAAGACACTTGTCAGACAATATGGAGAATACAGTTCTTTGCATGTGACACCCCCATAGTGGTCTGTCACTCCATTCTCTGGTGTTGCTGTAAATGAAAACAAGGAAGGTTGAAATATTTAGCTGGCGTATCTTCTGTTCCCTCTCTACTGAGGGGGATAGTGGTAAGGGGAAAGATACTCTACATACTTAAACAGCATGTGTAGCTGCCAACTTGGCTACCAAACCCTGGGTGCAGTTGGAGTTATTTTTCTTCTAAATTGTCAGGAGATGCCTCTTTAATGAAGATGACCCAGCCTGGCTATCAAACTTGGGCATTCAGACACATTTAAAAAATAGTACAGGGACATACATCTCATAAGCAGACACTAGAATATGTCGGAGGCCACTCTAACAAAATCCCCAAATGCACAAGTACATTTTTGCTGCAGCACTGTAATTTTCCCACAGCAAGCAAGCAGCTACTGGACATACAGACATGGGCATCATCCAAGTAAATGTCTTCCTTTAACTCAAGCTTTGTTATTAAACATCAGCCTAATTTATTTTATGTTCTTCTGACAGCAAGACAAATACATTTCAATACATCAGTTCAAAACAAAACCAAAGCTCGTCATTCAAAGTGAGATTCATATCACAGCATGTTGTCATCGCTTATTATTTAAGATCAGTTATTTAAGTCAGGGTATAGTTCTTCCTCATAAAAACGATCACCTAGAAGATTTTCATGAGTGCCACTGCAAACGCACAACTCTCTTGAAGGGATACACTAGAAGGAATTAGTGTTTGTTGTTCCTCCTCTTTATCTGTCTTAGCAGTAATTAAGTAATAGGCTGCTGCAGAGGGCTTTATACAGTTCCAGATACCACTAGGAAAATGACGACTGTCACTAGTGCTGGAAGGGAACTCTCTCAAATCAACAGCAATACCTGATGAGATTAAATAAACCATGTTGCTTTAGAGGAGCCCAGGGGTTAGCAAATACAGCGCATTAGTTGTGCCTAAAAAGCTTAATCCCCATCCAGGTCCATAAGTGGAAGAATACATAAACCGGTATTGTAATAGGAAGGAGGAGACTGTAGAAACATAAACTGTTTGTGCTGGTGCAGCCCTGTGGGAAGTTTTCATCTACGCTGGCCGAGTAAAACAAGCCTGCTAGGGACAGGAGGGGAACAAGCACAGTCAGTGTGGGCAGGGAGGGGAGCATGCCTCCGCCGGCCATCCACCCCCGTTTACCCCTGTGGCTGGTGGGTCCTCAGGGCTGCTTCGAGCCCTCAGCTGGGGGCTTCTTCTGAGTCGTCCTGGCAGCCTCTGGGACCATGTTCGGGATGCCGTCGATGATGGGGTACGCAATGCCCAGCTCCTCGTTGATGAGCTCGTTGGTAGCTTCTTCGTACCTGGCCAGGCGAGGCGGGGAGGGGGGCGGGGGAAGGAACCCAAAACAAACCAAGAGGAGGCGTGAATAACCTGGGTTTGCCCTTTGGCAGCCCCTCGCGCTCCACCCCGGGCAGCAGCAGGCCGGGGGCGGGCAGCGAGAGCCGCGCTCCCGCCCTGGGGGGGGCCCGGCGCGGCCCCCGCCCCTCACCTCAGCGGCCGCTTGGAGAGCGGGCACACCAGGAACCGCAGCAGCGACGGCTCCGGCGGCTGCGCCCGCGCCGAGCCCTGCCCGGGGCCGTGCCCGGGGTGCCGGCCGTGCCCCCCGCCGCCGCCGCTCGCCGCCCGCCGCAGCAGCAGACCGGCCGCGCCGCGCAACATGGCCGCTCCCCCCCCCCCTCCTCTTCCCGCCCGCCGCGCCGCTTCCGTCGCGCCCGCCAACCCGCCCCGGGCCGCGCTGCGGTGCGCGCACAGGGGTTCCGCCCCCGCCCGTTCCCCCGCGTGGGCCGGGGCCGGGCTCCCCGCCGCTATGGGTGTCTCGGGCCTCGCAGGTGTCCTTCGTGGGCGAGGCGGGAGTGGACGAAAGAGGGCTGTCCCAGGAGCTCTTCAGCGTCGCCGCCAGGACCCTCTGCCAGCCCAGCACCGGCGCGTTCCGCCACGTCGCCTCCGGCCTGGCGTGGTTCCCCAGCCAGGTAAGCGGCCAGCCCGCCGCGGCCCGGGGAGGGGGCGGTGGGGTGGGTGGGTGTGTGTCGGGAGGCTGCTCCCGGGGAAAGGCCGTCACGGCTTTTTCTGAGGTGTTTTATTTTCAACCAGGCCCCGAGCAGCGAGCACACCTTCTTCCGGATCGGGACGCTGTGCGGCATGGCTCTGTACAACGGGCTCATGGCGCCCATCCCCTTCCCCAGGGCGCTCTACAAAAAGCTGCTGGGCCTGGCGCCCACCCTGGAGGACCTCGAGGAGCTGTTGCCAGCCGCAGGCCGGTACGAGCCCGAACTTTTGCTGGGAAGCCGCGGCCCGGGCGGGTCCCCTAGCTTGGCGGTGCCCACGGAGATCCCCAAGGCCATCTTTGGGGTACCCCTGGTAGCTGTGCTTGCCGTTGTGGAGCTGCCAAAGCCCACAGATTTCCAAGGTGGTCCTTGTCCAGGGCACGGATGTTGCTCTTGAACAGAGGCTGGCATCGCCAAAATAAAAAACCAAGCCCCGCGGCTTAGAAAGGGTCAAATTTCTGCTCCATGTGAGCTTAAGACCACAACATGAATATATAGTTCAAAACACTTTTGAGCTGTAGTTTGGACTTGGAAGAACTAACCACTCAATTATTAATGTTGTGGGGTTTTTTTTTTTGTTTTTTTTTTTTTTTTTCCTCTGATTTACTAATTATCAGTTTCCACAACGCTGTTTTGCACAAGCACAGTATTACCATATGCTGCAGCTGTGCCAAATCTGAGAGCCGGCGTGCAGGGTTTCCGTGTGCTGGGAAAGGAGATTTCAGGCAGATAGAGCAGGGAGAAGTCCTGCTGCCACCAACGTAAAGCTTCTGGGCCCCTGAAGCCCAGCTTGCCACGCAAGTGCTATAAACAACCAAGGAGAACCCCTTCCCATGAGCCAGTGACTGTTGAGGTCACTGTGCCCTCAGTGGACCGAAACGTCAGGTTGCCTGCAACAGTTTGTGAGAGGTGCTGCGCCCCAAAACAGCTCTCAGATCATCCCACTGGTCCACGCTTAATTGTTCGCTAGATGGTATCTGGAAGAACAAGGCTGTGGTCCAAGCCCACTTGTCACTGAACTCTGTGTAAAGTTATCCCCACAGGGCGTGGCGGTGGACTTGCCTGGAATCCTTCAAAGTGAAGGCATTTGCCCTCAGCTCATGGCAGTAGCGGGACATAAGTGTATAGATCAGTTTAGGGCCATATATGAAGGTTCTGTGTCAGTATAGGTGATCTGTATGTATATGTATGTATGTGATACTGCCCATCAAAAGGTGATTTCAGTGGAATTCAAAAGTGCATTGAGTGGTCATGTTTCTTCTCTCTTTTTTCCCCTTTGTTTTTCGAAAGGAATCTTCAGGGAATTTTGGATGAAGAATGTGATCATATCCTTGAGAGCCTGGACATGGACTTCACAGTAAGACATTATTGTGCCATTCAGACATACCATGTCATGCCATGTACTCAGGCAAGACAGTGTCCCACCGCAGATGATGCAACTTGTCTGTAAACTCAAACTAGTAAGAGTGCTATGTTGGGCCCTGCAGAAAGAAAGAATGATAGATGTAGGACATATGTATCTGTCATCCATATATAGATGTAGCATCCAATGTTTTCCTTTATTTGCATAGATAATGGAAGAAGATTCCATGGTTACTGTTGAACTTAAAAAAAATGGTGCCAACATTCCTGTCACGAAGTATAACAGGTTGGTTTTCTTTTTCTTGCTCTGTTGTCTTGTTATGAGTGATGAAATACCATATCTATACTCATCTCCATATACTCTTAGAAAATTTTGAACATCAGTATTGTGCCGCTGGTCTTGTTCTGATAGGTTGTATGCTTTTGGTTCTTATTGTACGTGCTGCCTATGTGCCAGACATTGGCAGTTTGTGCAAGCAGTTGGTAAGAAGGGGATCCTTGGACATACTGGCATCTGCATATACAGAGATACCTGGCCTTATCAGGGAAATTCCTAACAAATATATAAAATACCTTTAAACAATATTTTCAGGGAAATACAGGCAACTTGTCTGGGAAATCCAGCTATAGCTACACCTTTATAAGTTTTTTTACAAGCAAAATGTTTCCTGCTTTGTTATGTATATGGAATGTATCTTGTATATAACAGAGAAGGAGTGATCTATCAGTAAGGTATTGTGTCAGTATTAACCTCAGCACAGGGGACAGACAGAAATTCTTTGGCCTGGATTATGCAGATGATCTGAGGACCCCGTAGGGATGAATGAAAGGGCTTATTTAGGAAGCTTGAAGTATAGTGTTTACACTTAGTTGACTGTACAAGCATAATGTCACTAAACAAATCCCCATCACAAAAAGAGATGGTGAAACTGTACTGATTAGCTGTGTAAATATTTATTTTGATTTCAGGGTTATTCTTGGGCATTCGGTGGGAGTTTTCTTGAATTTACACCACTTAGGTCTGCTAGGTTGCATCTTAACAGTGAAGTGTCTGATAGGGTTTCATTGGAGTGTTCACATGAAGTACAAGGAGTATTATCAAAATGAATCCATGTTGGCCAGCATTCTCTTTTATGTGTGATGAACCTCCCAGCTTATTCAGTGAATAAATAATGGCCAGTGATGACTGTTCTTGGTAAAGACAGTCTTTACAGTAGAGCAGGTCATACTCAATAAAGGAATAAGGAATAAAGTTCTCTATAATTCTCCTTTTAAAAAAGCACCTATTGCATGGCTTGTTTGATTCAAAATATCTTTGCAGGAAAGAATTTGTTGACTTATATCTGAATTATGTGTTCAATGAATCAATACGGAAGCCATTTAAGGACTTTATGCAAGGGTTTTCAAGAGGCTGCCCAGCTAGAAAGTGGAAGATGTTTCTCCCTGCAGAGCTCCAGATTGTTCTCCAGGGACACACAAAATTTGACTGGCATCTGCTGGAAGAGGTACTGGATACAAGCACAGTGTACTTTTGCTATATCTGCTGAGCATAACCTCCTTCTGACCTGTTCTTTTGTAGAGTGTCTAGGTCATGAACAGAAAAACAGAAGCTCAAGGGACTGTCTCTTTTTTTTTTTTTTTTGATTTGTGTCATTGTTTTGAGTCTGTTTCTAACCTACATCAGGTACAAGAATAAGGGGGACTAAAAATCAAGGCGTAGCTCAAGGATTGCCATATGAATCTTTGAAAAACAAACGAACAAGCAGATTCCAGAGGTTAAGAGGATTTGAATATCTATGAACAGGATTATAAAATTTATCAGATAAACTGTTGTTGCTTTAAATAAAAATGGAAATGGGGTTAACTGGCCTGTTTTATCTCTTTGACAGAATGTGACATACAGTCAGTATAAAAGGTTAGATCGAACCATCAGGAATTTTTGGATTGTGTTTCACAGACTCCCAGAAGAAAGAAAGAAAATGTTTCTCGGTAATGTATCAGGCATTTGAAACTTTTCATAACCCTTTTCTCTCCCCCGCAACACACATTTTAGATGCTTGCACATGAAAATACTATAGTTTCAAATGGCTTTTTGACACGTTCCTGCCACCACCACATTTTCTGGTGAAAGCCACAAAGAAGTGACACAAACAATTGCACAGACACAGCTCTGACCCTCCTCACATCCCTTGGGGCTTGCTTGAGTGTGTCTGACTGCCTCGGACCTTGTAATTACTTTATCCCATACTTCTGTGGTTATCAGTTGCTGGTCAGAGGCCTCAACTTGTGTGTGAGCAGACTGTTAACGTAAGCAGTTCAGCTTTCTCAAAGGATCGCAGAAGGTAGCTGATCCTTTTTAATCATAGAAGGTCAAACCTAGCCTGGCCTTTCTCATCCACAAAGTCTCTGTAAGTTAAAAGAGTGCTTACAATTATTATGAATCAGCAAGAGATTTTATTATATTTAGGTGCAAATTCAACAAAGCAAAATAATTATCTTCTGGAAATAGCCATAATTTTACACTTATTTTTCCTCATTAATTTCATCCTCCGATAATGTTACCTTAGTTTTTTCTTTTTATTTGTTAACTTGTTTTGCTTTTTCCCCTTCAGCTTTTTTGTCAGGATCTGATCGAATTCCTGGCTATGGACTGGAATATTTTAAATTTTGTATTGCGGATCCTAAAGCAGAAAACCCAGATGAGCTCTATCCTTTTGCCAATACCTGCAGCCACATTTTGTTCCTCCCCAGATACAGCAGTAAAAGAATACTCAAGAAAAAGCTGCTCTATGCCACAGAGCATAATGAAAGTTTTGGCTTTGGCTAACTCTTGGTGAGGAGCACTTTAAAACAAGAAAAAGAAAACAAGTCTTTGTTTCGCTTGTCACATTTTTCCCTTACTGGTTTCCACCCTGCTTTATTTTTTACTGCACTTTATGAACACTCGAGTGTGTGTATTCACTGGGATTTTATATTGATTATAAAAATGAGCTTAGGCCAGATACCTGATTGTTAGATTGTAAAGTTAAGAAAGAAGAGTCCTATTTAACACACTTCCAAGAAGGACACTGATAACCAAGTATATTTACATATATGTGCATCCTGTCTGCTCTGTGCTGGCCCTGTTTAGTTGGTAAGCTTTCAGCAGCAGGGATTCTGTGATTTGTACATTACCAAACACACAGCCAGTATATGCTAAGCAGTCATCAACGCAAGAGGAAGCTAGCATAAAGATCTCATCAATATTAGGGATTCTCTTGGGGAGCAACTAACGCTAAGGTGGCATGTTCCTGCAAACTGAATTGAAGGAGCAGTCTGTGCTCACCTGCATATGGCCTTCGACTTACCTGAGAGAAGTTCTTAGGATGAGGATTTGATCATTCCTAGACTTTGTCAAAAGCTGTATTTGTAAAGCATTAATGGACTTTCTCTTATTTAGTGTGAGAACACTGTGATATTTGTCATGTTTCTTTATATCTTCTAGGGAGATGTTTAGCAGTTAAATAAAATTTTAGGCTTGCAGAACAGCCCTGTCTACAGAACCTTGCAGGGCTGCTGCTCTTTGTCAAAACAGTGCATAGCACTGGCAGGATATTTACGATGTCAGGCAGGATGTAAAGGCAGGATGTGTATTTTTCTGTATGGTTTGCTTTGTGTAAAAAAATAGAAGGAAAGACAGAGAGAGACAGCAATCATTTTTCAGCAGTCTTCTCCTTCCTTTGGTGTGTTAAATGTGTCACTGGACATACATATGTAAAGAAGACTTTTACTGTATTGAATTAAATGATGATTGATTAAATTTCCACACCTGGAGTTGTGTTCTTCCTTTGTTATGCAGCTGCCTATGCGTGACAGCATATCAGTTTTCTGTCTTCATTGATACAGGGAAGCCGTTCACAAGAGGATTCAAGGCTGATGTAAGTGTATTTCAAATAGATGCATCACATAGTCTGAACAAGTCAAGGTCTTTCGTGTTTGGTGCAGAATATGCTTTAAATGAATATAAACATTGAAAGTGAGAAGAAAGCAATTTTTACTTCCTGTTCTGTCTTGACTTTGTGTTGGGTATTACGTGCACATCCTCTTGGGCCAGGGAGGCTGCCTCTTTGAAATACCAGTAAATGATATAAACCGTTTTTGAAAGTGATTTGAAAGTGACTGTTAGGCTAGTGCTTTTTTTTTTTTTTTTCCTTCTTTAGGGAAGTAAATGTTTCTTAGAAAAGTCATAAGCAGTATTTATGAATTTCCCGCTCAGTAAAAAGGACACTGTAAGGACATTGTTACATATTAAGGCAAAAGAAAGCTTCCTTTTAAGTTACAGTATAGTAATTAGTAAATAAAAACTTCAGGCACTCACCTCAAGTGCCAGGGCGGTACAGGGAAGCAGGTGACGTGGCAGGGGCAGCGGGAGGAGGGGGTCAAGCTCCCTGAAGGATGCCAGCTGCCAGCCAAGGGGGGCGAGGGGACATGGCCCACGCAGAGTTAACCGCTGTCCCCTTCACCTGTCTGGGGCAGACAGGACACCACTGGGGTGCTCAAGTCCTCAGGGAAAGGCACCACCCTGCTGCAGGTGTATTTCTGTGGGCAGAGGGAACTGGCGGAAGCCCGAGCTGTTGTCCCCGCTGAGCCGGAGTGTTCCCATCCCACGCCCGGCTGATGCTGCCGCACTGTCACAGCTCTCTGTCGTGGCACGCCGCTCTTCACCAGCCCACTCCTGGTTGCTTGTTTCCTCTTTTATGTTTTTCTAAGCCTCCATGAGGGCTTGGAAATCCAGAGTGATCTTCTGTGCTGTACGAGTGCACAAAAGATATATTCTGTTTGGGTTTCAAAATAAGCCATTAGAGATTAAATGAGAATAGGTTTATTTAGAGCCTGGAGGTATTTCCTTCTCATCACGTATGATGCAATGTCACATGGGAGATTAAAGCTCAGAGTAATTTTCAAGGTTATTTTTAATTTGTCCTCAAATAAGCCCTGTTTTTATTTTTTTTTTAAAAAAAAAGGGCAAAAAAAGACTTTCAGAGGGAGCAGAGTAGAGCACTCCTCTGTCATTTTCTGAAATGAATTTGAGCACCAAGCTGTGTCTACCTTTTCTAAAGCAGGGCTCATTACAAAGCATGCAGGGGAATACAATGTGAGTGAGCCTCACACTCAGCTATATGAGTTTAAAAGGCTTTACAGAGGCAGAAAAAGTATATTGAGCCTGCAGCAGGAATTTTTTTTAGACCACTTGTCTGATCTGAACGTCATGTGTAGAGAAGCACAAGAGCCTGGCAGAGCATCTGATGCAACCAGGGTGGATCTGGGGTGACCAGGACACCCCAGAAGCTTGTAAGCCACTAGAAACAAAGATAGCCTGGTGAAGTGTGTTAGTGGTGAACTGCACGCTGGATTTGCTGCAGAAAAGACACCGCGTAGAAGTTACTGCTTCCATGGAAGGTAGCGGGACCTCTCCTTGGCTGGCTAATCCCTGGCTGAGCCCCTCTGAAAAGCTCTTCCCTAACACGGGAAGGGCAGAAAAAGAAAAAAATAGGGAAGAGTTGATTGCTTCCAGAGCAATAAGGAGACATCAGTGGCCACGTGGAAGGATTTCTTCCTACCCACAGCCGCTCTCTGGCCCAGATGCCTGGGGCATAGCCCTGCGGCCCACGCAGAGGTTTCCCTGCCGTGGTGTGCTCTGCACCTGGCTTTCCTCCTCTCCTCAGGCTGCCATTTTGGTGAAAAGCTCTGGCATTGGGCAGGGCTGAGGAGGCATAAAGCATCGCTACCTCTGCGCAGCCCCGGTAAAAGGTCCGTGCCGTGGCCCACCGGAGCGGAAGGCCACCAACGGCACCTGGCGAAGGACTCTGGGGGAAAACACCTACTGGAAGAAGGTTCACAGGGCAGGTGAAAGCTGTGGAGAAAACTCTAATGAATAATGACTTGCATTGCCACAAAATTCAGCAGACCTCACCACACGCTTGCCTGTGGGCTTCTTGGCACTGGACTGCCGTACAGCTGCTAGGGGGGGGAGGAGAGAGGGGCTTCGGAGATCAGGACGGCCTGCAGATTTCGGCATCTCTGGATACCTTCAGGCCTGGTCTCTGGATGATGTAACCCGTCAAGGAAATGGCGAACAACATATTCTTCTGGCGAAGGCCTGACCCCACCGTGGGCCGCCCTTAGCCGGCAGCGAGAGGTGGACGCCAGCCCGGCTGCCCCCAGGAGAGGCAACCCCCCGCGCGATGAAACACCGAGCTGTGTGCAGCCGAGAGCAGGGGCACGAGCAAAACGGGGTTGTTTTGGTGCTTTTACTTAGAATTTTACCCATTTATGAAGGAGCAGCTTCGTGGAGAACTTTCATGGCTGAAATGTAGCCAGATGGAAATTGATTTAAGCAAGAGTCTCCTGGCTCCCTAGGACAAATTGCAGGCTTTGCTCCTTCATCTACTTTTTTTTTTTTTTTTTTTTCTTTTTTGTGGATGCCTTGTCCTCCTTGATTGCTCAGTCAGAAGCAAACAGAGGAAATTGAGTGTAAAGGGGAAGTGCTGACTATTTTCCAAAGGTCTCTAGATGATGAAATAAATAAAACAAAAACAAAGGAAATATTTTTTCCTCAATGCTTTTAGGTGTTCTAGAAGCTGCCTGTAACACCAGTTAAGTAAAAGCTATTATGTCACAGGTGTAATTTTACACCAGAGAGTAGCTCTTTTTATGCTAAACAGGCATGATCCATGCAAATGCAGGTGAATTTTCATCTGATACGTGACACGTTGCACGCTGAGTATGCAAACACTGCAAACTGCCAGGGCTGTAGCGTAAGGGAGATGAATAATGTGGGCGCTGGACTAGCTTCAGGGACCTCTTCCCCACACCCTGAGCCCTTGCAAACATCTCTGTGTGTTTTGCTCAAATACTGACTGTCAGTTTGGTGGTCTGAGTGGGACCCAGCTTGTGCATTGCTTCTGTGGCGTGCAGAGACTTTTTCTAATGGATGGCATTAAGATCAGAAAAGGAGTACTCAGGAGTCATATAATTGCTTGCTCATTGGCCTCTTTTTATTTTTCTTCTTTCTCACAACAGACGTTTATACTTTGACCACAAATACTTTCCTAAGGTCAAAACTTTGTATGAAATGTGTGAGTTCCTAAACCAACAAGCCTGCCAGTTGCCTAGAAGCCATGTACAATCCAAGATGAAAAAAAAGGAGCTGGGAAAGGAACTGACTATTGTTATTAGTAAGTGATATTTCATACTTAACAAAACCAAGAGAGTAATTTTAAACAGTGGAAAGCTGGCTTTCCCTTGAGACCTTCATTTAGAATAGCTTAAATCCTGGAATATTTGCACATGCTTAACTTCTGCCCATTGATTTCCATTGTCCTCAGCGCAGCTGCTGATCTGCTTAGCCTGTAAGGCTTGCTAAACCTCTGCAGTCACAACCCTTGGCCGCGGTTTGCGGCCTGAGCTGGTTACCCATCGCGCCGGGCCCCTGGCAGCACCCTCGGCCAGAGCGAGCTCTGACCCCAGGCAGCGCCCGGCCTGCGGGGAAAGGAGATTCCCCGAACAGACCTCGCCGCGGGGGCGCGGCAGGAATCCGCCGAGCGAACGTCGCCGTCCCTGCCCCAAGGAGCGGGCTACAGGCACTGCCAGAACGCCAGCAGGGCCGGGGAGGCCCGGGGGATCGGCGGGCTCCCCCCTCGCCGCTGCTCCCGCCAGGCAACCCCTCAGCGCCGGGAGCCGGGCCCGCCCCGTCCTCAGCGAGCCACAGAAGCCGGCGGCGCCGGCCTGATGCGGCCCGTCACGCTGCCCCGGGGCCTCCGAGCGGCGAGCCCTCCCGCCCCGCGGGCCTAGGGAAAGCGGCGGGGCGGCGGGAGACAGGAGCCGGCAGCGGCCGCCGCCACCGCCCGCCCGCGGGGACCCACCGGGGCCCACCGGGGCCCACCGGCTGACAGAGCGCCCCGCCCCACCCCGCGCGGGGCGGGGCGGGGCGCAGCGCTCGCCGCCGATTTGTGCTCCGGGGCCGGCCCCGCGCTTCCTATTGGCCGCCCTGCGCCGTCACTCCCGCCGGCAGCGGCGGCGGCGGCGGCGGCGGCGGCAGCAGCGGGCTGGACTTCCTCGTTGCCGCGGCGGGGCCGGCGGAAGGTGAGCGGCGGGGAGCGGGGCTGCGGCGGCCGGGGGGCGTGGGGGGGGGGCGGCGGCGGCTGCTCCTCGCCCCGGGCGGCCCCGCTCGCCGCGGTCACAGCCCCGCCGGGGTGGGCCCGGGCCCCGTTGCGCTGGGGCCGGGCCCGTCCGGGTGCGGCGGGTGCCGAGGGAGGGAAAATTCGGTAGAGCCGCTGCCGGTCCTGGTACCGAAACGGTGCGGGGGGGGGAGCCGGGGCTAGAAGGCAAACAGCGGGAGGGTGCGCGGAGCGGCGTGGCGGGGCCCCGCGGCCCCCCGCTGGGCTCTCCCCCTTCCTTTCCTGGCGTAGGACGCGCGTCCCCGGGCGGGGCCTCCCCGGGCCGGTGCGCGGAGCCGGGAGCCGGTCGGTGCTGCCGCTGCTGCCGCCTCGCCCGGCGCCGCGGGGCGGGCGGGGGGCGGGCGCCCGGGGCCGCCGGTGTGCCCGCCCGGCCCCGCCGAGCCCGCGGGGGCAGCAGGAGCGGGGAGCGCGGCAGCCGAGCAGCCTGTGTCGGGGGGCGAGGGAAGGGAGGTGAGCTTGCCGGGGTTGCAAAATGGAGAGGATGCGGGTCGTGTTTAATTTTGTTTATTTTAATTTCTGTTTTCTCTTTTCGACGGGGACACCTCTTGCTGAGGGCGGGTGGTTATACAATGGAAATGCTCTGTTTCTGCTTTAACTCGTTCGCTGTTACGCCGTGCGTTCCCTTGCTCTCTAGCCTCCTCTATGTTGGACGTTGAGTTGGAGTAAAATGAAGGCAAAAGGACGAAGCAAGTGGGCTTGGAGGCATAAGGGCAGAAAGAAGCAGTAAATCCCTTCATTATTGGGCAATGCTGATAAAAGGATCGCATTTGCTAGCTGAAATCTCACAAACAACAGGGAAGGAAAAAGCTTGTTTATTCATGTCTTGCCAGTTGGCAGATCTCTTTGTTTAGAGAGCATCCAGCCTTGAGTGTTGCTTGTTGCAAGCACAATATTTACTTAACTAACTTTCCCAGAAAGGATGCAGTTGCAACTATAGCTTTAGAATATGTTTGTATGATCATGTGAAGAGACTGTATGTCAAGACAGTTATTAAAAAGAAAGAAAGAAAAAAAAGGCAAAACGTACCCTGTCACGATCTTACATGCGGCATTATTATTTTACCAAACCACCAGGGTTGTTTTCTCACCAAAGGGTATATACTTAGTATGTCAGCTGAGCCTTATCATAGCAGAGGGTGGATGTTCTTCCCACAATAGATTTCCTCAAAATATTTCCCCACAGTGTGAGGTTTTCATATCTCTAGCTGTGCTGTGTACCTCCTTCACTGTTTTGATGGTGAATTAATTATTCCTGGAATGTCAGGGTTTGAGGGTGTTGGGTTATGTCTTGATAAACCCCTCTCCTTTTTTTTTTTTTTTTTTTTTTTTGTTCTATATGAGGAGTCTCTGCAAATGACCAGTTTTGCTGCATTGCATCTGTTCTTATCTCTAAAACATAAATGCCAAGCTGGCTGTGTTGTGATCTGTGAAGAACGGGAATAGGTGATGTGGTTGGGTACTGCAGCTCTTGTGCTTTTTGCAATCCAATTTATGAAAGGGTCTGGGAACTTTAAGGCCCTAACTGATACATTTAAAGGAAAACACATTCCCTAAGGGTTTGTCCTATGAAGATCAAAATGCAACTTTTGTTTAAGGTGTATTAAGCTGAATGCTAGGAATAATTAGGCATTTTTCAAATTTCAGTTAAGTGAATAGGAACCTTATCTATATTTTACATATATGTGTGTCTGTATGTGCAGACGCATGTCTGTGTTAGTGCCTGCCCACACTAGAAACTATTTATATAATTGTTTTAGTATAAGGAGGGTATGCAGCTTGTAGGGGTAGTTTGCAGTGTAACATGCATTTTTACTTCCTCTGCTAGTGTCAGAGAAGAGTAACTGCCTTAACCAGATTAGAAATGGACTGTGAAATTGTTGTTTGAAGCCTTGTTGTGTTTCAGGACAGAGTTCCTACTGGAACACATGATGTATTAAAAAGTGCAGCAGCTTTTCTGGGGGGAGAAACAAGCAAACATTAAAACAGTTGTAACTTTAAAATTGTGCTATGTCTTCAAAATAAGTAAATTTAAAAATATGGCTAACCAGGCCATTGGAAAATATTTAGCTGTGCCTGTACACTCCAATGGGAAGTGACTGTGTAAGTTTTCACTCTCGAGTGGCAAGTGCTGCTTTGTCCCCTTGAAATATCAGCAAAATTTTTGGAGGATGGGGGTTTGGGATTCAAGGGAGGTGACTTAAAACTAACCAAAAATCTAGCTAAGTCCACATTTTTCTAAAGGGCCTGGCATGCGTCGTTATCTATTGTAGGGATTGTTAAACTTAAGGGTGCTCTAGAAAATCTGGCCACAAGCATGAATGAGGTTTGAGCTCCTCTGAAATATCACCCTAGTGGGCATCTGAATTACTGGGAGTTTGAAGTCTTCCTGTTTTACATAGGTTTACCCAGAGGAAGACCCATCTCTTGCCAATGACGTTGCATCCCCCTGCCCGTTACAGCAACTTCTTGTGTGGACTATGAACACAAGGAAAGTAATTAAAGTATTTTTAGTATTTTAAATGAAATTATCACTAGGAAAGATGACTAGTCTATGGGGAGCAGACTTTTTAGGAACCCTTTTAGAAAGATATCCCAAATTAATATTTAGCTCGTGTTGTACAATGTCACTGTAATGCAAGTTGTATAGTCTTGAAATCTTTTCAGCTCAGATGCAGCATCCACTTACACTAGCAGGGAATGTGATCTTTAGATCTTTAGGTTTGTTGCTATCCTGCTGCTTATATCTTCATAACAAGGTAATTCCCCAAGCTGAGAGAAATGTCAGTCCCAGATTTCTGATGTCAGTTTTGAAATGATTCCTTGCCTTGATGTTGCTTGTGCTGTGTGGTGTGTTGGTGTGTGTTTTTTTTTTTTTTTTTTTGAGACGGAACATGAAGTTCACTATAAATATAGCAGTTGGGTCATTTAAAGCACATGCACTCGCTTCAATTTTACTGTGTCCCACGGCATTCCTATTCTTAGCATAGGAAATAGTGTAGCCGGTGTAGAGGGTATCTTCCATCAGGCTTTTGTGCTGAGGGCAACTAAGTACAGAGTGTACTCAGCAACTGATTTAGCTAGACAGAGCCTTGTAACCTGCTTTTTCATCTGGATGCTTTGGAGCTGGCCAGTGATAAGCACATGTGTGGATGTGAATGAAGTATGCTCTAAAGGAGTAAGGGCTGTTAAAGATAAACGGGATTCATAGCATGCTTTAAAGTACCTAAGAAGAGATCCTAGTAAAACGGTTTGTGGTAGGAAATTGCATCACTGATGACGTACAACTGGAAAGTCCAATCCACTCCCTCCCCTGTCCAGCTCAGTCCTGCCTCAGTGGAAGGGACCACACCTGGCTGTGTGACCACAGCTGACGGGCAAGGATAGTGGGGTAAGAGATGAACGCTGTTACTTGGGGACTTAGATTAGGAAAGGCTTTATTGCTAATACCTGGAGCTTGAATTAGCACCAGGCTTTGGAAACAAACCGAATGCATGCGCTTTCTGTCTGCCTAGAGGAGGAGAAGGAATCTTGTTTCCTTGAGGAATCTTTGGTGCATCAAGGGTTACCTTTTGCTTTTCAGTCCTGTGCTAAGATAGTAAGTGCTGCTGCTCTAAATTGCCTTAGTTTAAAACTTGGCATGGTGAGTCATAAGACTTGATGTCTTGGATCTTTCATTTTCTTCTCTTCTTTCTTCTTCCCTTTACAAAAAAAGCTTTAATCGGTTTCTGGCTCAAGCAGAAGAGTTCTCAAGGTCTTATTAGTATAATACGTTTAATAAATAACTCAAACCTACTGAGATTAGGAGTGACAAGGGAGTGTTACTAAAATCTTTCACATGCTGCTTCTGGAATGAGAGCTGTTTCCCTCCCCCCAGCTTTTATGCATTAGCATCCTGTTGTTATGATCAAATTCGGGCTGAGTAATTCCTTGGGCCTTTTGTATCGCTATGTTTTTTCCTCTTCCCATGTTACCCCATTCTCTGGAGTCCCTGACTTTCACTGAGCACAGCACAAAAGATCACACCTGACTGCTGGCAGGTTACATCAGTGTTATCTGCCCATTGCTGTCAGGGCCTAGCTGCCAGTGTGCTGCTCTGTGTGAACTGCTGCTGCTTGGGAAATTCTTGCAGTTTAGGGATGTGTGTGTGTGCACATGCACATATTTGGGTTGCAAGAATGTGTTCAGTTCAGCAAAATACTTATTAATCTGGGTTAATCAGAAATAATATAGTTCTGCATTGACCAGTATACCACAAGTACCTATGTTGGTCTGTTCAGGACTTGTTTGACCACCGTGGAGAATTTTTAAAGATTTCCTTAAGCAGTGGTCCCAAATACAACACTATAACTCTAAAACTTCAGGTTTGGACCTGTTAGTCCATAAAGCATTACAGTTAGTTTGGGCAGTTGGTTGATTTTTTGTTTTTGAAGAAGAGTGATTTTGCTGAAATAAAGGCTCAGCTCTGGGTTTCAGAACGCTTTTACTGCCTTGAAGATGGGAATGTCCAGGGCACAGAGGTGCTGACTCAGTACCTGAGCTAAGCTGTCTTGATTTCTCTTTGTTTGCCTGTATATTGGTAGAAATTCCTTTTTACTGGCAGTCCACAAGACTGATAGTCATGCAGGAAATGCCTCTTTTGCTTGTTATCACTTCAGCTCAGAGTAGCTTATCGCTGTAGGATCACTTGTGAATACTTGTTTCATTCACATTCCTTCCCCTGTTTTTCTTGCCCAGGAAGGATACATGAGATGCTGAAAAGAGAGAAAATGCTATGCTGGGGATACTCGTCTTTTGGACAACCTGGCATAGGTAGCAACCTCCAGGTCATCATTCCTGAACCGCAGGTGTATGGATTCATTCATGACAGAAATGTCAAGGAGGTGGCATGTGGAGGAAATCACTCTGTGTTTCTGTTGGAAGATGGGGAAGTGTACACCTGTGGCTTGAACACCAAAGGCCAACTGGGGCATGACTATGAAGGAAGCAAACCAGGTAAGTCTGCTTTTTGTATGAGCTTCAAACTGTCTGGATGCTGTTAGACTGAGAAGGTTATGGAAGCTGCTCTGTGTTGATTGCTCTGAAGCAGCTAACGGATCTGAAAATCATGTGTAGTAACACCGTAATGATGCTGAATAATATTTGCTGGCTCTGGAAAGCTGAAGCTGAGCAGCATGGGTGGGGAGACAGGTCTGCTCAGTTTGTCTGGGAAATGCATCAAAACAGAGGCAAGCGCAGATGGTCTTAGGGCAGATTTTATTATTTGGCCATTATGTTGCCTTTTTGTAAAAGGGAAGAGAGGGACATGAGTCACAGGTGTCTTCTGCTTTGTCTTTCCAATTTCACTGTATCCTTATGACTACTCTTCTTCAGTTATTGTTGGGAATTTTGTCATTTATGTCAAAGAGAAGAGATCTGTGTTGAGTATAGTTGTGGATAACAGACTCGGTTTTGGCCAAGAGGGTTTATAAATTCTGTTTTCCCCTCTTGGAAATCTATTGTCGACTCGTGCCTTCACCCCTGCATGCTTTCTTATTCTAGAAGGAGGTCACTGTAGCCTGGTGTTCCCCAGACTCAAATTGCATTTCCTTCATTGTGTTCCAGTGGGCAGAACCTGAGTGTGCAGAACCACAGGCAGCTAATGCCTCTCCTTCCCAGGGTGAAAGAGTGATTTAATTATGTATTGTTATTCTGAGAAACTCTGAAGCCTTTCTTACGGACTTGGCTTTCCAGTTCACCTTCCATTAACTTCTTGGTTTTGGCATGTGGTAAAGATACAGGTGTTTGTTCCCATAATACAATAAAAATCCCTCTGTGGGTAATTAGAGTGATAAGACATCATCTTTCCTCAAACTGTAGCCTTGTAGTAGGTCTTGAGGCTTCTGTAGTGTACCCTATTACTGCCTGACAGAGATATGAGATGTGTACAAAATAGCCACATGTAGGGTATGCAAATCTGACCTGACTCATTTCACTGCTTCTTTTTTTCTGTCTGTGTGTCTTTTGTCCCTTTCCCTCAAAATAGGGTGGTAGATGTTGGATGCTGGATGTCTGTGGATTAGAGGAGTTGACCTTGAATCTGGCTTCTCTTGCTTTTCCTACAAGTCATTTCCAGACAATTACTAAAAGAGGTCAGGATTATCAGGAGTGCTTAAGTCCTCTCTGTGTACAACCACTGTTCATCTTCTGATGACTTGTAAATTTAGGCCCTGGAATAAATGAAATGCTTAGTAAAAGGAAGCCAAGCCGAGCGAATATCCCACCCGACCTGATGAGGATACTTCATCCTGCAAATCACCTAACTAGCTGCACAGCTGTAGTGCAGAGGCCCCAGAAATTCAGTACTGTTCTGAGTGCTGTAAAGATGTGTACTCTGAGAAACATCTTTGGGCTAGCCTGCTGTTTACCTATAAAATAAAGCAAACATAAGATGGTATTGAAAATAGAGTCTTCAGAGTGAGCAGATGATCAGAGCTGGAAATGGATCTCATGAATCCTGAATGCTGAGGTGTAGACCTTTAGCAGCTAGGTCATCCTGCCTTCAGCTTTGGCTGTAGGAGAGGGGCAGTCTGAGATTTGGAAATAGAAATAAAAAGGTCTTTGGGTTTGATCCCAAGTGCCCTTCTTTAAACTAAGGGACTGTCACTAAGATGTGACACCAAGTCCCAGTTATCCTGCAGGTTTTATTTAGTCTGAAAAAGGTTCTGCAGTGCTGCTCTCTGAGGAGCCTGTGACCATCCTAGAGAAACTGTGTTTGTCTACTGACACACCACTACCAGCTGTGCTTGCAGTGGGGTTTCTGCTGGCTGGGGCAGGTGAGAAGGATGTGATGATGTAAAGCAAGGAACAGTTTCCCTTTTCATTTCATGGTGAACACTCATAGCAGTCATGATAACAGTAAACTGAGGAAGAGTGCCATCTCACACACTCCTTTGTGTGGGTCTGCTTTGGCTTGTGGCAATGAGAACTGAATTTCTTTATTCACCTTTACAAATAAGAACAAGAATAATCAAGCCCTCGTCTTTCACTCCTGCCTCCCCTGTATGAGATAAAGACGACCTTACATCTTCCATATAGAAAGGTGTGTCAAAGATCATCTTTCTAATGCTTCATTAGTTGTGGACCTATGAATGAAGCCATGTCTAATGGGAAGTGAAGATGTATGTGTGGAGCATAGGGTTCTGAGCTAGAAAGATGATAGAAGACTGTCAGGAGGTGTCTGAAATAGAGAACAGGAGAAATGCCTGGAACTGGGAGTCTTGCAGCTGCACCTCTCCAGCCTCTGCCAGACAGGGCAGTGTTGGCTGAGGCCTCTTGGTCTTACTGCCTTGTGGCTTGATTCTGCCTGGCTTGTGAGGGCAGCTGGAAGTGGCTGACCTCTGCCCAGCTCTGGGAGCAAGCTGCATCTCCTGCTGCGGGAGGCTGTGACACAATACTGATTGTCCCCTCCAGGCAGCCCCTGGAGAGCCTCCTCCAGACTTCAGAAATGCTTACCATGGCCTGCAGAGTGGCTTGGTTGAGTTTGAGAGTAACATCAAGACATAAAAATATGCAGAGGGTCTTGAACCTTTTGAAGGCTAGATGACTTCAGAGGAGTGATCTCCTTCCTGCTGCCCAGGTCTGTGCTTGTAAGAGGGAACTCCCATTTATCTCTCTCACTTTTTGTGTCTGTGTACTTGACATGCTGCCAGCATGCTAAAAGTTTCAATTAGTGTTTTTAGAATATATAATCATGTTTAATCAGAGATAGTTATTTCCCAGGATGATGTCTGCTTGTGAATAAAATTCTGGAATTTTGCAATGCACTGAACATGGATCTAACCCTGTTCTCCTTGCAAAGCTTGCAGGTTTTACTAATGACTTTCAGTGAGGGAAGGTTTGTTACATTTGCAGTGAGGGCTTTCAAAGACTTTGCCTCCCTTTTCTTTCTTTACTACGTAGTACAAATATTTTTTTTTTTCTCTTATCTACTGCACATTTATACATATCTGGAGGAGGAGGATTCAATTTTGCTTCTCATTCATGCTATTCACAAAATGTCAAACAATGGCACAAAATTGTTTCAACAGTTCCGCTTAGAGGAGTCCTTTAGAGGGCACCTTTTGAAATTACAAAAAGTTGTTAATTAAAAAGCTGTGTTTATTGTCACATCAGCTAGGCTTGTGGATGTAATGCAGAGACAAGATAGCAGCCAGCGAAGTGATTCTTGTGCCTCTCTGCTACAGGGAACAGAAATTACTGGGGGAGTGCATGCCACTGAAACAGTGTGAGTCAGTAGTTTACTTTCTGGAAGTGCCCTTTCCTTGGATTTTACATTGTGGTGGTAAAATTAATTATTAGGATGTCCAAAAACTTCATTTGCCTCAAACCTTTCCTCTGGTAACCAGACAAAACCATGGGTTTTTTTTTTTTACAAAATTTCCTGTCTGGATGCAAATGTACAGGGTAGCATTGCTTCTGTGTGCATTGTGGAATGCATGTGCTCATAGCTACAGGGCTAGAAATACTATGTTTGGTCTCTTTCAAAAAGCAGGAGAAAAACCCCACCAAACCAAAAAATACTTCATCATCCAGATCCCCTGGATTTCTCCAAACTCAGTAGCCTTTCTTTTCAAACATAAATCCTCTTGTCCTGAACTTCAGCATGGGGTTACAGTGACCAGAGACCTTGGTGCTCACTGTGGCGTGCCTGTTAATCATGAACTCTGTAACAGCTGAGAATTCAGATGCACGACCTGCTTGGAAGGACAGTCCGTATGGATCTTCCTCTTTTAGCCTCTTCCTGGTGGGTGAGAAGCCAGCTAGGAGGCCCTGGTTGCTCAGGAGGAGAGGTGGCAGGGCATGTGGTTGTTGGAAGTGAGCAGGTTGCAGACTTGGAGGTATGGCTGCTGCATTGAATAGGTTAATCTTGAGAGCAGCTCAAAGGTGGGACAACAGTGGCAGGAGAATGGTTGGTTCCCCCTGCCTTCCTCTTCTTTGCATGAGGAGTGAAATGAGGAAAAAAGAGCTCAAACACCAGTAACTCCAGGAGGTTCTGCTAAGCAGGCTTTTCACAGAGGAGCCGAGGCAGTTTTGTCCCCCTGTTTGGGCATGGAGCTGAGGCTCATCATGCAGCTATTGCAACACTTCCTGAGTGCTGTGGTCTGGGAGAGTCCTGCTTCACGTTCATTGTGTTTTAACTACACCCCCAAAGCAGAGTCGCATGCTGTAAAAGATGTAGTGAGGCATGGCAGCCCTGCTTGTAGGCATCGGTCCTGCCGAAGCCTGGGAGGACATGCCTGGAAAGGAGCATGCTGAGGGATCTGCCGGGAGGGATGGAGCCATCTGAGGAACAGAGAGGCCCTTGCAGAGTCAGGCCTGCAGTGCTGGCCTGCAGCATCTGACTTTAAACCTGAAAAAATAATAAAGGAAGAATTAGGGCACAATTTATATTTCATCACCTATTGTAAATGTTATTTGTGAAAAGAACCAGATTATTAAACTGGCTGTCCCTTGCTGGGTTGGGTATGTTCATGCGTACTCATCCCTTTCCCTCCTTTGATTGCTCACAGGATCTGACCAAGCTATGTGAGGTGGTTGTGCCTTCACCAGTGACTGCAGCAACATCCAACAACGTGCATTTGCATTATGGTGTGTCCATTGCAGCTGAATTGGTGCAATTTGGGCTCCAGGATGGTTTTAGGTTTCAAAATTAGAAGGCTGGATTTAAAAATTACTTAATTTAAAAATATGTATATGTACAAAATATGTATGTGGTTGAATGAGAAATAAAATCAAAGGAAGTGCTTTCCTTTAGATATCTTGGATACAAATGGGTTGTGTTGAATTGGTTAAGTGAGGGGTCTGAATATGCCAGATGTAGTGGGCAGCTGTAAAATTTGTGTAGTCTGGATCATGAGAACTGATTTATACCAGTACTCTGAGTCCACAGGATTAGGAGAGCCTAAACTAAGGAGAGATAAGGCTCTTTAGGAGAGCCTAAACCAGTAGAAATC